TTTTTTTTTTGTTTGTTATTTACCAATCTTATATTATATAAAAGTCGTGTAGACAAATGGCCCTATATGCCATTATCTATTTACACATATACACACAAACATAATTGCTCACTTATTTTCAATCGATACGTCGACGTCTACGTCTCATTCTATTCACACAAATTCAATTGATTTTACAACAGTGTGTATGCACACACATTTTGCAATCCATTAGATGTTTGTATATACTGTCACTTTATCTTTTCAAAATTGCCACACTCATGGATGTGTGCCTATGTATATATAAACAATTTATGTTGATATTCAAAGTATACATGCAAGTACCCTATAGAGAATTATTATTATCCTTTTTGAGTCTTTGTCGCATGCATTAAGGTAGAATGAGAAAAAAGAAAAATAATAATAAAATTACTAGATTGAAGTGTTTTTCGTTTGATGAAGTATATGATGAAAAAAAAAAGGATGAAACGCTTTCGTTTGTCTTGAATTTATTGTAGAAATGTATATGTGTATATGGCAGACGAGTTTATGTATATGAAAGGCAAAAAGATTTATTTACTAGACATGAGACAACGTTAATGTTAATCATTACTTGTGTATGATCAAGCGATTCCTTTCATACTTATTTGTATAATAACGAGTATTTTAGACACTTAGGTGTACATGACTTTGTTAACCTTGGAGTTTTTGTTCTATTCTATTAGGTTTGTCATGCATCTTTCTTTTTTGAAGTGCGTACTCTTCATTCCATGAACATGCCTCTTTTAAAAATGAGTTATAATATATAAAAATAACATTGTATAGATTAGTAGTCGGCGTTGTATCTTTTAACGGTATGAAAAAAAAAAGATTTTACCGACTCAAATTTATTGAGTCTTTTATCAACCAGCTGTGGCTCTTATGCCAATTGATGTAGAGTTTTTATTTTTCTTTTCAAGCTGACTCTTGTATGAATCCAAGATGACGACTAAATCAGAGAATATTTCTCGAGGTAATTTGTGATACAAGTATCATGGATAAAGTACACACAAAATTACTTTCGTAGTCTTTCTTTTTTTACGGTTGAAATAAATTCCCCTTTTCTCTATTTGCTTAAAAATATTTATGGTCCATTTGTTATTTTACTCTAACATCCTATAACAAATATTTAGAAAAAAAAAATATTTTTTTGACTAATACTTTATTTCTATTTATGCGTTTAGATATATGCAAATGAATTCAACTTATTGTAACCACGTAGAATACTGTTGTCTATCGAAATAGGTAAGGTTTTTAGCTCATTAAATCATAATAAGAAAAAAAAAAAGACGAATGAATAACAACATTTTTCTTTATAGAGAAAAAGAATTTTATTGTTTTTTTTTCTTCGCGTCATTTTCTAGTGGACGTAACTCTTAGGTAGTTATGTATAATCTTCTTCTTTTTTTTCTTTATATTTTATTTAACTATATGTGTTTGAGAGGAAGTGAGAAGGACAGATGTCTTTGCTGTTTCTCGTCTTCTTATTTATCAATGTGCATGCGCGTCCGTGTATATATGTATGTTCTTAAAGAAAAAGAAAAAGAATTCTCTTAGTTCATTGTACTCGTGTCGGACATGTATATGCATGCGTAATAATCGATCGGGTACCGTTTGTAGATTTGTTGATTCAATCGTTCAACTGAATGTGAGAGAATGAATGCGTAAAACATTATAAAGAAAAAGAAAAAGAAGTAACGAAGAACGATTGATATTTCATTTCTGATTAATTCTTTCGTTTTTTGACTAATTGTCGATTATATCTTCTTTATTGAATCTCACCTTTATTATGTGGGTGGATTCGATTTATTTTTTTCTTTTTCTCTCTTTATTTATATAGGTTATATATAAATAAAAATGCCCATCTATTTACGCTTATTTTATTGAGAATATCTTCTTTGCTCTTTATGATTTTATTTTTTAGATAAAGAAAAAGAAAAAATCAAACCGAATGGCTCTATTCTATGTTGGCTATTTAATAGCTGTATCAAGTACAATTGCATTCATTCTTGCTATATTGACACCAAAATGGATTTATCCAAATTCTCCTACATATCCAAATGAAACAAATTATCGTGGGATTTTTTATGTTGATCAAGGTCGTTCAGATGGAATATGTCGTGATTGGATTCTTGTCTATAAACCTTCAGTAGATTCTTGTCGACCACGTATGTATTGAAAACAAAAAAAAAGTTCTTATCATTTTTACAATAAATTATATTGTTTTCATCATTAATTATAAATATTTGTTTTTTAGCGTATGCTGTTGCATGTGCAGCATTATCAATCATAGCATCTTCACTATCGATTATTCTTCTTTGGCTTGCTGGTGGTTATCTTTATCTTCGTCGTCGACGTCTTGCTCCTCATTTTGTAACAGCTTTAGCTGCATTGACATTTTTAATTTGTAAGTCATATCTTTATGACTTATATCAATCATTTCTATTTATGTTTTTTTTTTCTTTTTATTTAAATTCTAGTTTGTATAACTGTAGTCATATGGGTTGTAATGATTACAATGAATCGTGATGGAAATTTAACAATTCGTCGTGAAAATATTGGTTTTTCAACATGGATTGCTGTTGGTGCAAGTGGTGGTTATTTAATAGCGTGTATATTATTTATTATATATCGTATTGATCTTGGCCATCGAAGGTATCTCAAAGAAATGGACACGTATTCGCGTCGCTTCTAGATACATATTTATATACAAATAGAGATGTTTTGTACATATTATCTTCCGTGTCATTTTCTTGCTCGAATCTATATGTTTGCATGATCTACCCCTTTATGCCTGTGTGTTTCTTTCTCTTTATACTTCCAACAACATAAAAGAATCATAAAGTAGAATTATATATCTATCTATATATATATATATATATATATGCATGAGAATCAAATTTACATAAGCTCACAGTTACAGCCACGTGATAAAATGCATAACATACAAGAGTGCTAAGTAAAAAAAAAAGAAAAGGAAAAGAATTCTATATATGCTTATATTTAATGCTATACTAACGAAAAAAAACTAGGCGGTACAGTAAAAAGATTAATACAAAATACAGATCAAATTCATATATCCCCGTGAAAATATAAATTTGTGATGTATATGCATGTATTTGTTTGCATCCTTATATTTGCTTGCTTTCTCATCTCACAGTTGGCTGTCAAAAAATTTATACGTATGTTATGGTAATGTTGACCAGTAAAGAAGAGGAAAAAAAGATGAGAACAAATATTGACATTGAGCTCGTCTCTTTTACTTCTTTCGAAAAGCTTGATCGATTATGTATATACATATAACCAGACATTTTCTTTTTTTTTTTTTTTTTTTTTTTTTGTATATTATCCTTTTTTTAGTTCATCTCACGATCTATATTCTGCATAATCATTTTAACGCTTCTCTACTTTAATCTTGCTTATTCAATTCAATCAAGTTTTTATACACTACGATTATTTACTAATAATATTCTGGTTTTTAATCATATAATTACATTTATGTTCGATCAAATATTTCGTTGTTGTTTTTGTAATAAATTGTTTTTGGTTTTTGTTGTAATTGATTTGTACTATGTACAAATCTATGCTTTTTCTTTTTGCAATTCTACTGACTTTTGTTTTTTTTTGCTAATTGGTGTTACATTTTCTTTTTCTTTAGTATATGATAAATCTTTGAAAGAACAACGAATATGTAAATATACACATATATATACATGGATATGGATATTTCATTAGTCGTATTTATAGATGTTTTTTGTTTTGGTTTTGAAAATAGTCAAATTTATATATTAGAAAAATAATTCATCTTTTTGTACTCGATACACTTAGACATGAAAAGAAGGTGAAAGAAAAATATTATTTCAATGTTTATATTTGATATGAGTATTTTGAGAATAACAAGTAATTTCTATTCTCGAATAGATATGATTCACTTATTAAAAATAGAATGTTAGATTTTTTTCTGTATAAATAGGCATGAATAGAAAAAGATGCTTTTTTAGATAATCTATTGATAATTTGAAAGTATGTCTTCTAATTATCATTAAAAAAAATGACATGTATGAATAGAAAAGATAAATCGAAGTATTATGATAAATTGTATTTATTGGTATGTCTATAGTTTCCTTTGAAATAAAGAATTGAATACATATGTTTTAAATAACATGCTAATGATTTTAAATTTAAATAGATATTATCTCACCAATCATAACAAACCGAAACAAAAGAAAAACTAAAGCTGCTTACTCTAAGGAGATTATTTTCAAACAAATAATCTTAATTAGAAAAAAAAATTATTAGTTTTGTCAGTAGATTTTGATAAATCAAAAGTCAGTTTTTCAATCATTTTCATAGAAAGAAAAGACTTATGAAAATTTTTTAATGAAAAGAAAATTTACATAGGCAAAAAAAGTCTTT